TAATATAAATCCTTAAGATCTTCCCCCAGTTTTGGCAACCTGACTTAAAAATTCATGCGGAGGTATAAAAAAGACAACAGTCAGGACAATTATGAAGAGTATAAATAAGGGGGCTGCCTTACTATAATACTATTGTAATTAAAAGACACAGGCTGCAGGAGTACATATATAAACTAATGGAATAGAAAAGGAAGCCCAGAAACAGACCTCGGTATATAAAGGCACTTGGTATATGACAGAAAACGCACAACAAATCAAGTAGAAAAAAGAAACTCTCAGTAAGTAATAGTAATGAGGTGAATGGTTATGCATTTAAAGATCCCTAGCTTACAACATACACAAAATTTCAAATGAATACAAGTTAAAAATGAAAAGCAAACAGAACATCTCAATACATTTTTAGTGGGATTATAAAGCAATCAACTACCTTGGAATGTAATTTCTAAGTATCTAGAAAGTAGAATACCCATATTCACAAAATTCAACATTTCCATCCAGAATAACTGTTTATGAGACAGGCAGAATGTTTACTTTGGAACTGTTTATAAAAGTGAAAGTGCAAACAACCTGATTATCTATCGATAAGAAATAGATGAACTATGGTATATTCAAACAACAGAATGCTTTACAGCAATTAAGAGGAATTAATTAAAGAATTAATCAAATCTAAGATGACATCAGTTATAAAGTGAACTATTATTTTGTTGTTAAGAAAAAGAATGCCAATTTTAAGACACCACTGATTTAGGAAGCACCTCAATTTAAGAGATGTTATATTTTGGAGAAAAGGAGAGCAATGTGTACAGGCATGGCTGTATATCAAAGACACAATGTTAGTGAAAAATGGCAGGTTTCAAAAATGATATGATGTCTTTTCTCCCATGGAATTTAAAAACACAAAATTGTCTCATGTATTTAAAAAATATACATATGTAAAATGAACATGAAAATAAGCATGAGAATGATACATTAAAATCAGGATAGTTATCTTTAGTAAAAAAAGGAGGAAGAATGGAAAGAGGTCAGGAGTTTCAGCCACACCTTTTAACATTCATTTCTTATTAAAAACAAACAATAAAAGAGACTGCAACCTTTGCATAGTTTTTTTATGTGCTAAAACTGAGCTGATCTTCTCCACCAAGGGACAGCAACGAGCCAGTTATGCCACAGCTACCATGATACACACAATTATAGAATGTTTATTTGTCAAACACAATAAAGAAATACAGTTTGCCAAACATTCCTGAGGATTTTTCTGCACACTCACAGGAAGTGGAACCATGTGCCTATCTCTGTGTGTGTGCCTGTGTGTGGGTATGTGCGGGTATGTGTGTGGGTAGGGGTGTGTGTGTGTGTGTGTGTGTGTGTGTGTGTGTGTGTGTGTGTGCGTGCACGAGCGTGTGTGTGTGTATGTGTGTACATGCAAAGGCACACATGCTGGTGGGGAGTCAATGCAAACTAAAACAAACATGGCAAAGTGTTACTATCTTTTAAATTGAGGGAATGAGATCACAAATGTCTACTACATTATTTCCTGGGAGCCTAAAATATTTTTTAACTTAAAAAAAATTAAAAATTTAAATTTAAAAAGCACAAAGTAAAATTTAAAGTATGTATTTCATCAAAATTTCAGGGAGCAAATAACTCCTATGCTCAGAAAAACATTAACAGTTTTCCAACACATTCTAGAAGTCTAATAAAACCCCTTACTATATATCAATTCTGGAATAAGGATAACACAACAAAAAAAAAATTACAAAGCAATCCTCACTACTCAACATGGACATAAGAATTCTAAATTAAATGTCAACACACTGAATCTAATAGCATGACCAAGCTGGGTTAATCCTACCAAAGCATGGTTGATTCCATATATGAAATCAATTAATGTAATTCATTACATCAATGATTATATGTTTTAAAAAACTGCCAAGCAAACATGGAATACAATATATATATCCCAGATTAATAACTGATTAGAAATAGAAACTTTCTTAAATTGGACAAAGAATGCTTACTTAACAATGCTCTGAAATATTGAAATAATACTGACAAAACCATTTGCAGATAGCATTGCCTATCTAACAAATCCAAGAGAATTAACTGGAAAACTATTAGAATTAATTAGAGTTCAACAAAGTTCATTCTTGCCTAAGGGCTTTGGTAATTACTTTTCCCTCTGCCTGGCCTATCCTTCTCCCAGATATTCAGGTGGCTGTTCCCTTACTTCACTGAGGTCCATGCTGAGATGTCACCTTCTCAAAAAAGCCTTCTTCATCTATCCTATGTAAAACAGCCTCCCTGCCGGGGGCTGGGCTAGAAAACCTAAATGAAATTTCCTGTAGGCTTGCTGTGATAGCCTGCCACATAAGGTAAGTCTTCTTACCCTTAAGACATTTGAAACAAATGAACTGAGTCTAACTAAAGCTGCAACGAAAGCCCAACTCTTGAGGCGATCAACCTCTATAAAGCCTAACAGAAACAAAAGGCAAATCCTCTCTGGAAGGAAAATCAAATCAATTTCAGTTCTTTAGTTCTTATATATACAGTGTCCTGCATTAAAGAAAAAAGTTATGAGATCTTTAGAAGAAGAAGACAATGTGGCTAGGAAAATTGTGATTGATATTCAAGAGAAAAAATAATTAAACATTAGAATCAGCTCTGTAGAAGATTCAGATGTTGTTGTTAGCTTATAAAGATTTAAACTATATAACTATTTTAAAGAAAAATAAAAATGAGTGAAAAGAGACTTTCAACAGAGATGAGAAAACTATAAACTGGGCATTCTAGAATTGAAAAATACAATATCTGAAATGAATAACTAACTGAATAGAGTCAGAAGAAGAACAGACATGGCAAAAGAAATAACTGATAAATCTGAAGATGGATCAAAAGAAAATATCTAAAATGTCCGGGTGCAGTGGCTTATGCTGGTAACCTTAGCACTCTGGGAGACAGAGGCAGGAAGACTGCTTGACCCCAGGAGCTTGAGACCAGTCTGGGCAAGATCGCAAGAACTCAACTATAAGAAAAAAATTAAAAAAAAAAAAAAAAAAGCCAGACATGGTGGCACGTGCCTATAGTCCCAGCTACTCCGGAGACAAGCAGAAGGATCACTTAAGCCCAGGAGGTCGAGGCTGCAGTGAACTGTGATTGTGCCACTGTACTCCAACCTCGGCAACAGACTGAGACTCTGACTCAAAAAACAAATACAAAATAAATATCTAAAAGGAAGCACAGAGAGAAAAAAAATAGTAGAAATAATAAAAAGGAAATTAAAAGGCACATAGGATACAAACAACCTAATACATTTATACTTGGAGTGTCAGGAATAGAAGAGATAACAATGAAGAAGACAGTATGTGAAAAGAATGGCCAAAAAACTTTAAAGAAAGAATGAAAGACAATCAACTAGCAAACTGAACAGGTCAATAAAACTCAAGCAGGATAAATACATTGAAGATCATACCCATGCACATCATAGTCAAATTGCTAAAGACAAGAGATTAAAAAAAAAAAGACTCATTACTTACAAAGAGTAAAACAATTTTCAGCTAACTGCTCAAGAGAAAAGATAAAACTCAAAAGACAATGGAATATCCACTTTTAAAGTTCCAAATAAATAAAATTGCCAGTCTAGAATCCTGTATTCAATGAAAATACCCCCTCAAAATGAAGGTTAATCAAACACAGCTGCCTAAGTAAATTGCCAGCTGACCTGCACAAGTCATTCTAAAGCAATGAAATTCAGGCAGAAGGAAAATAAGCTAAGATGAAAGTACAAAATGATTTAAGATGAAGAAGAAAAGATGAGGAGGAGGAGGAAAGAAAATGGAAAATATATGGGTAAACAAAGAACACTGACTATTCAATAATATTGTCGCATTCATTTATAACTAAAAATATACTACAACTACAGCACAAAAGATGGAGAGGTAGCAAATAGCACTGAATTGTTTTAAACTTCTTGCACTGCTCCGAAGGCAGCAAAAGCACTAATCACAGACAGTAATAAGCCAAACATAGATATTAAATAATTATTAAAAGAATACTACAATACAGTATAATTAAAAAGCTAATGAAAGAGATAAAACAGGGAGACTGGCCAAAAAGAAACCAGCACAACAGCAGACTTAAAGCCAACTATATCAGTTATTACACAAGAAATAACATACTAAAAGTAAGTAGACTAAACACTATTAAAGAACAAAGATTCTCAGATTAAAAAAAAAAAGACTCAAGTATAAAATGTTTACATGACACACACTTTAAACATACGGAGACAAAAGGGTTGAATATAAAAGTTTAAAAAGTTTTATCATGCAACCAAAACTGATATGGCTATATTAATATCAGGTAGACATAAAAGTATTCATGCAAATACCAAGTGACATTTTAAATTATGAAAGTATCACTTCATCACAAAGATATAATAATCCTAAACCTTATGCACCAAATAACAGTTTCAAATTATAAAAATAACTTCTTCCTCAATCATATCTGCTCTCTGTCCTGCTTTTCTTTTTTCATTCACTGCATTTTTCAGAACCTGACATTATATATTTATTTCTGCTTACTCATCCACCCTCAGCATGAAGTTTGCACCATAATGGCAAAAACTTAGTCCATCCTGATCACACTTTATCCTCCATAAAACTGAGTAAAAATTTTGATTTTGAGGGTCTGTATAGTAAGTGCTCAATAAATGTTTCCTGAACAAATTAATAAAACTGCCACTAGCAACTTGGGTATTTAGTGCTTATTTTAAACGTTTATATTATACATTTATTTTCTTCCGTTATGCAGGCCTTTAACTTAAATAGTACTTAGCAAATTTGTCAGCCAAATTTGCATGGGAAATTTTTTAAAAAATATAAAAAATGTTACTGAGAAAAGTTTCCTCTTCATAAACCAGCCTCCCAAATTAAATATCATCAAAATGCGCCTTTCTCTATTCGGTATTTAAATATATACTGATTTACATAAACAAAATAATACAATTTTATTAGCTTTCATGTTTATTCAATGTCACAGGAAATTAAAAAAAGGTATCTGAAAACTGGTTATCTATTTAAATACCAATTGTTCATTATGGTGACATAATACTATGTGGTAGCAGATATATGCTTAATTTAAACAAATTCTTTAAATTCCTGACATTCTTCCAGGTGGGCAAAAGGAAATTTTAAAAATCAAACTTACAAGTCATAAAAAGATATAGAAAGTAATTTAACCTTTAATACCTGGAACAAGTTTTACAGCCACATTTGTAATGTACATATACAGTGGAGATCACTGAAAAAGCTTCCTGTTGCACTGCAGCAAGAAATTTTATAATGTAGATTAAACAAATCTGCTACAGAGTGCAGCAAGATAATCTCACTGAGGAATGAGATTTTCAAAATGAAACTTGTTACAGTGAGCTAAATATTTTCTTAATGTTATACAGTACATATTTTCAAAATGAACATTATCGCTGAATACTTTGCTAACAACTGTTAGCAATTAATGTTTTATACATACTTAATTTTACTGTAGTTAAAGTATGTGGCTCTCCAAATGTTAGTACACGAAATGTTAAGTTTAAACATAGTAAGATAATTCCCTAAGATAGAGACATTAAAATTTTGATCATTATTGCACCTATTTTTTCTACAGAAAAATGAAAAATTTACTTCATAATCCTCCCAAAAAATAACCAGTTTGTAAAATTACAGACGCATTGGCATTTAACATAAACAAACAAACATTTTTGTGAACTGATGTACAGCATTAATGTGCAGTGAAATTTGGTTAACTATGATCATGCAAATAAAAATCCTTCACAATATTTTTTCATATGTTTTATAAAATGGTCTTAAAGATATATGTCCATAAACATTTCTGGTGCAATTTAGTCAACAACAAAAATACAAAGCTATCCCTTATTCTTTATGTTATAGATTTTAAAACATGCCTTTTAACTGGTGAAATAGAAATGGTGTGTTTGGGAGAACTGAGCTAATGACATTTAAAAACCAACGTATCTTGACCTAACCTTAGCTGTCTTGATATATAGAGCAGCCTCCAATAATCACTAGTGTCAGTATTGTTGCCAATGAAGAATAGCTTGAAACTGAGAGATTAAGTCACAGTTCAAAACAGTTTTTAAAAAATAAAAGGCCATTCCATAAACATAAAGAAATCTTCAAAAGAAAAACAATCACAAGAATTTCGATATACATTGGACAATAGTAAAATGTCATTTTCCAAAATAGTAATTTCTTTATTATATGCCCCCCTCTATTATAGCCAATCTTGGAAATATACCTTAAACATAATGGTGTGTTATATGAAAATGCTCCATTGTTCAATGTGATAAATTCAATAAGTTAGAATATGATTTTCTTTAGTGATGTTAACCATGAAAAAAACATAAGAACATCACCTAAAATACCAAAATGAATTTAGGTAAGCATTAAGTAGTAACCTATATGTTTTGGTTCAAAATACAGTTTTACAATTATATAAAGGATACTGCCTTAAGTAATTTGTTTCTATATTTTGCAGATTACAATTAAGGAAGAAAAGACCTGTTCTAAATCCGAATAAATTTCCACTTCTTCCAGTCTGGACAAAGTGAAATTTCATTCAGTGTTCATAAGATCGTGACAACCACAGTAGTTGATATAGTTGGATGTATCACGTCTACTCTGTCCCTGTCCCCCAAAACGATATTTGGCTCCAAAATAAAGTACAATAATAAACTCTTGATGAAAAACTATGTTATGGGGCAATCTATCATATACTATGACTAAATATGAATTTACAGAAAAAAGCACATCCCATTTTCAGCACTTTTTTTCATAAACATGCAACTCACTATAAAATACAAAACACTTGGCTTTCAAGAACAGCTTTATAAAGACACACTGCATCAATAAAATTTTTCTTTCTGATTAACTTTACACTGTTAGGGAGAACTGGAATTTTTCTAACGTGTATATATCAGGTTTTTTATTATAGTGTAATAATTTGCTTTTTCCAAACATATTGTTCAAGAGGAAATATCTATACACAATAACATTGTAGACTATTAAAAACTCATTCAAATTACAGAATTTTATTGATACAGTAGATTAATGAAAAGTGAAGATAAAATGGGATAAAGAATTCAGTACATTATTTTATAACACACTCTTTAAAATTAAAATATTTTAAATCTCTTTCTTTTTAAAATTTTCATTGCCATAAAAGGCCAGAAAATTCTAGGACCAATACTGAGGTGTAAAGCAATTAAACAACTTCAGGACTATTTCACAATCTGCATGGTGTCCTCCTATCAACGGCATCGTTCTGGTGTAATGGCAGACAATTTAGCACCTCTGAAGATTAAGGGTGCCCAGGAGTAAACACTAGGTAAGATACACAAGGAGAAGAGACCATTTAACTCTCCAACAAATAGTGACATCAAGAAAATGACACTAGTTGTTGAAAAAATTTTTTCACAGTAAAATTGCAGAGAATACAAATACAAACACTGACAGATTACTGCTTAAGATCTATCCTAACAAACTCTTTTCAAATCAATAGATCCAATAAACAGTCGGGCACTGTCAGTTTAAAGCTGCAGATAAAAGCTATACAAGCACTTTAGAAGTCAGAAACATTAAAAAAAAGAAAAGAAAAGATATTTACAAGTTTCTTCTTTAGTTTATGTCTATACAGCCATCGCACATTATACTTTCACAAGACTCCATAGTCAATGTTATCATGCGTATGGCTACAGCATGTGACCACAAACACATGGGGTCACCAAAGTAAGGTCCAACTGTCCACTCTTCAGCAGTCCCATTTTGTGCATCAAGGGCTTTATTCAGCCTCAAGCTTGACAAAAAATGATTTTTCCAAAGCTTTCACAGAAAAACTTAATAATTACTTTTGTTCATCGCCTTTCCCTTTTAGAACTTCTCCGCCGTACCTTAAAAGAAAAGTCACCAGATGTCTAATTAAAATGGCATGCAGTAATTATTAATAAAATATACTGTAATTATTATTTTTTAATCAATCTTTACCCTTACTTGTTTATGATTTTCTTTGCTTTCCTGTCCACAAAACCTTTCTCCTTTCAACCGTCTACTTTGACATTACATATTTAGATTTCTATATTTGAACCCTTGCATGCCCATAAATAGCCTTTCCCAGAACAAAAGAGAAAATTATTTTACTTTTCTATTTAACAATTTTAAAGAGAAATGAATATAAGACATTGTTGACCACAAAAAAACAACAACTGCAAATAGGTTAATAATCTTTCTACTTTTGTTCTGTGGTAAAAAGAAAATACTTGGCATTTATGCACTTTACATTGCACTTAAAGTCGTCTTTCTGGGAAAGTAGTTACCAAGGATGGATCTTAATTACTATCAAATACATATAAACAATCTAAAACTGAAACATACTATCATTTACAGGCAAGCACTAATGAAAGCATAAAGCTTTAGTTAAAAAAACCCAAAAACTTCTGTATTAACAACAGGAATGAAAAAAGAACAAAGTTTTAAACTGAATTAATTTTGGGGGGTTTTCTCTGAGAAAGACTACAATCATTATGGACTCTTCAGCTTTATTGTGATATTAAAAAAAAAAACCCTTTAAAAAACAAGTCCAAAGCCGGGCTCGGTGGCTCAGCCTGTAATCCCTGCACTTTGGGAGGCTGAGGTGAGTGGATTACCTGAGCCCACGGGTTCGAGACCCACCTGGGCAACTTGGCGAGACCTCATCTCTACAATAAATCAAAAAAATAAATCAGCCGGACATGGTAGTGCACGCCTGTAGTTCCAGCTACTTGGAAGGCTGAGGTGGAAGGAACGCCGGAGCCCAGCAGGTCCAGGCTGCGGTGGCCGGGAGCGGCCATTGCACTCCAGTCTGGGTGACAGAGTGAGACTCCAACTCAATAAAACAAACAAACAAACAAAATAAAAAACAAGTCCTCCGAACTGAGACCACAGTTCAGCATGCTTTCCTACGGTCTTGGCCTACTCGTTCACATAAACGAATCCTAGTGCAGACAGGAGTGCTGATTACATAATAGGACAGAATAGCGGAAACCAACTCTGGGAATTGATTACAGAATTCATATTTCTCAAACAAAGATGGCTGGTGGAACTGATCCAAATCAGCATTAAATCAAGATAACTTACTTGTAAGTATTAATTCTATTTTTTCCAAAAATAAACATCAGAGATGTATTAACTGGCAAGGCTATTCATTACTTAAATTAAAAAAAAAAAAAAATCTTAGGAAGCACCACATCCCTATTTTTGCAAAAGTTATCTATCACCAATTTTATGAATTCTCATTCAACTTGTACTTCGATTCCAAAGGTTGATTTTAGTAAAGATATTTTTTATTCTGTGAACTAACTTCTAGTTTCTATGTTTCTATAACCTCAAACAGAAATATCAAACAGAAAGTTACAAAATACAAACAATCATATACTTAATGGGTATTGGTGCCCTAAAATCAAGGTGCACTTTAAATGCTTAAAATGTCAATATTAGAATGCTACTTATACTTGTCCACAACATTCAGTTTAGACTGAACATTTACACTCTCACTATTAGACTCTCACTAAGCTATACCCTTTGGTTTTGGGTTTCTATAAAAGATATTTCTACATTATCCAAGCTGGTAGATGAAATGACACTACAAGCCAATGAAGAAAAAATATAGAAAACTTAGAATTGTAAGAAGCAGCAAGTGCTAATATATCTAACCAAATATTTACTAACTCTATTTTATATCCCATACCACCTCACACAACACCCTAACAAACACATACATTTACCATAGAAACTTCCTCTTCCTCTGTCTCTTCCTGTGGGATATCATCATTGACAGGCGAGCTGCCCTGAAACACATCTACTTCTTCGCTTGAGTCATTTTCTTTAGTAGCTGCTTGTTTGGAGCGTCCTACACGGCTAGAGTAAAACACATGCAAAATAACGTGAGCATTCCAATCTTTAAGTCGCAGACGACCTCATTAGAGGAAGTGCTTCAAGTAGTTCATGAATCCTCATATCATTTTTATCTTCAATTTCTTCATGAGAAAGAAATTTTTTATATTCTGAGCCCTAAACCAGTGTTTAATCACAGAATCTTACATACAAATATCTAACAAGTAATAAAAATAAGTGTGACTGAGACTATATCATAAAGGATTTCAAAACATAACCCAGAGTCTGCTCGTCCTTTCATCTTTCCTAACTCAATAAAAGTTATCCATGTCCACTGAGCTGCTCAAAGCAGAACTTCTTCCTTTGAGCAGAAAACAGACTATTAGTCTTTATCTGGCTTTACACAGTCTACTTAAAGAGCTCTCACATACATTCACTTTCCTCCACACCTCCTTGCTACCACCTAATGCAAACCTTTCCCACCTCTTGCCTATTCTCTTTACGAAGCAATCTTTTAAAGATACAGGAACAGACCATGGCACTCTGCCTACAGAGCTCCCCGCTGAACTGAGAAGGATTCTGCAAAATCCTTAACACAGAATACAAGGCTCTGCAGATGGTCTGTGCCTACTTGTCCATTCTCCTCTCTTTCTGCTCCCCAACTCCCCGCAACTACAATCCAGAAAACTCTTGTCTTCCTTCAGGTTCTGATTTTGCCAAGATCTTTCTCACTTCAGAAACTTCAAATATAGTATTCTCACCACCTAGAAAGTTCCTCTCTCTGCTCTCTAATGCCTACGATCCCCCCAGCGCCCCCCCCTTTTTTAAAGAGACAGGTCTCACACTGTTGCCCAGGTTGGCACCATCATCTCACTGCAACCTCGATCTCCTGTGCTTAGGTGATCCCCCCCCAACCTCAGGCTCCCAAGTAGCTGGGATTAAAGGGGTGTGCCACCACACCCAGTTAATTTTTTTTTTTTCAATTTTTGTAGACACAGGGTCTTGCTCTATTGTCCTGGACTCAAGTGATCCTCCTGCCTCAGCCTCCCAAAGTGCTGAGCTTACAGGCAGGAGCCACAGCACCACCACACCTACTTCTCAAATAACTGTCTCAGTCACTTTCCAAAGAGAAAACTTCCCAACTCTCCAATCCTCCTACTACATTCTCTTATAGCACCCTAAATTTTTCCTTCAGGGCACACATCACAATTCATAATTTCATATTTATATGTTATTATTTAATGACTGTATGCCCATTAGATAGTAAGTCCCATGAGGACAAGAACCATGTCTGTTTTGTGCCCTAGCACCTAGTGCTCTCTGAAACTTAGGAGGAATAAAAAATATGCAAAAGTGCCATTTAACCAAATGGCTGTCTCTTGATAAACATTTATATTTTAAAATTAGGAACACAGCTTATCACTGCTATGAGCAATCCAATATATGTATTATTTAACTCATGCTCAAATCAAGTAACTTTTTTACTTAGTTCAGTTTTTCAGGATTAACAAAAGCAACTATAGAAATAATATGGGGAAAAATGGCAATCTTTTTCAGTTTCACTAAAGTCAGAACAAGAAAAACAGACAAATCATAACACCATTTATTATACTAACTCTGAAAAGAACTTTCCAGGGAAGGGAATACAAGATTACAGAATCTCTCCTTGTATTAATTTTGTAAAATAAATACTTGTTTAGTTTAGAACATTCATAGAACTTATTTAATTTTAGGACAAAACACAAGTCATTTAAACCCTTAAATTTATGATGCCCAAATATAAACAAAGATTATGAGATTTATGTCCTTATTACATCACATATATTTAATATTCCTTAAGAATCCTTTGTTTAGAAATAGTGATTTCCCTTGGTTGAATTCAAACACATTTATAAAGCTACTACAAAATGTACTTACCTTTACTTTTAACCTGAGAGAAAAATTACAAGGAAGAAGGTATGAAGTACTAGATAGACTTTTCCTCTTCCTGTGAAACACATGGAACAGGAAAAATGCTAAGATAATTCAGTATTTAACCAAAGTGTGTTGGCAACTCTGAAGAGTCAAGGTACTGATGTAATTATATATGGGAGTATTCTCAGAAAAAGTGTGAAGAATTTCTGACTAATAGAAGACATAGCTATTTCCACTTACATAACTAAGGAGAAAAATACTGCCAAATCTACAAATTGCAGCATTGATATTATTGTGATATTAATAATTTTGGGTACAGATTGTTATGTGTTTGTGTGAACGTCCAAAACTGTATATAGAGAAAAATTATTTATATTAGAAAATACACAAAACTAAGATATCAGAAACTTGACATCAATGTGATAATTAATTTATGTGGATATAATTTTTTAAAAATTATGCCTGTTACTTTCCTACTACAAGTTCAAAGTATAAAAGCAGACGTGTAAGACCTATTCTTTTTTTTTTTTTTAAGGAAAAGTTGCTAACGGGAAATACAAAGAAAAACTGTAGCATGGAATGATAAGGCAATCCAGTCAATGTGTGGTGACTATTTAAAAATACCTATTTTTTTTTTTTAGCTATCATAAAGTCTGTATAGGAAATAATAAACTATTTGATATTCACTTATAAAGATTTATCTGATCTGTAAAAATGCACAAATGTTACCAGAGGGTGAACTGGAATATCAATCGCCTAGTGAGTTTATAAAAATTTTATCTTACCTAGTCTAATGGGCCTACATATATGGGCTTTAAATACAGCAATATGTATGCTTATAAATTTATGAACTTTTGCAAAATAATTTGAAATTGGTTTGAAATTTAATATGATTTACAACTTACACATTTTTGGGGGGTTGTGATGGTGATGGCGTTTTTGATGGTCTTCCTCGTCCTTTCTGTGGTGTGGATTGTGTGGATTCAACTGCACTAGTTTCAGGAGATTCTGCTCTGCTTTGGGGAAGACCCAAATGTGGACAGCATCAAATTATGATTTATAGTATAGTAACTAAATAGATGCAGCTTAGCGTTACACACACTCACCTCTGCTGTGCTCTCCGTGACGCTCGGTGCTGTTTGCTCTTGGACTTCTGCTCTGTATTTCCACTCTGCCTTTCTTCTTCCTCCTCTTCTTCTGCAGCTGTAGGCCCAGATTTTTTTTTGCTTCCTTTCTTAGAAGTTTTTGTTGTTGGCTCTTCTTTTGCTGTACCTCCACCGAGAGGTTTTGGTGGCCGGCCCCTTTTTCCCTTCTTGGGTGGACTATTCTGTTCATCCTCATTTTCTAATATATCTTCTTTGAGCCTCTTTTCCTCAGGCCACTGCTGTTCATCCGATTCTGAAGCTGTATGGCCTCTTTTCCGACCTCGCTGACTACTTTTCGGTTTCTGTTCCTGTACCAGCTTAGTCAGGTCATCCATACCTAATTTCTCCTCTGGATCGGTGACAGGCGTTTTTTTCCGGGCTCTAGGTTTCTCCAATTCAGACTGGGGTAGGGGTGAAGGTGGGGGAAAAAAATCACAATGTATATTTATAAAATTGTTGGTATGCATATTTTGAAAAAGCAAGTAAAAGAACCCCAACATATACCTAAATAAAGTATACAGTTCTTAAATAAATCAGAACCATAACTACTTATTTTTATTATTTTTAGTTTTAAAAAATTCTCTGGGTTAAGAGTATAAATTTCCATCTTACTTTTAAGCTGGAGAGTCTTAAAATGAAAACTCACAAGATCAGTATCTTATTAAATTATAAATTTTTGTGAAGAGAAGAACTATTTCATAAAAAAGAACATTCTAAAATTCAGTGTCTGGTCCCAAAGGGAACTATACTAAACTATCTGTTTTCATAGTGAATTTAAGTAATTCTAATTTTACGACACAGTGCATAACACATAAAGTATCAACTATGCTGTATGTCAAGCTTACAACATAATAAAAGAACTATTTTTATTTTATAAATAAAGGTTGCAAGATACAAAAGTTAAACATGTTCAACATTTATTAAAACTTTTGAAAATACTTCTGAATCAGAGATACTGCTTTTTTCTAGGTGTAACTGATTAATAACAAAAGCAATTAAAAAAAAAAGAGCTGAGTGGAGACTTGGATAGGAAAATTGGCATGAAAAACAAAGATTTTAAATTAAAAAAAAAAAACCCCAGTCTACATTCAGAGAATTTATGTGTGAACCAGCAGATAGAGATTGAATAAATTTTCTAAGGACTCAAGAATGAAGTATATGTAGGAATACTTACAATACAAAGTTAACTTCCAAAAACTGTCTTAATTTATACTCTCAAAATTCAATGAAAACAACACAAACTAGTGAATTACCTGTAACTTTTTGCTTAGTAATTATGTCTCCTATCCATAAGCTACCTAGTTATGTCCTTGGATATCATGTCCTTTGTCTACTTTGTTTACTAGACTGTTAGTACAGTCTTCTATACTTTTGTGTGTGTTTAAATGCTATTTCCTATGGACTGAATGGCGCACCCACCCATATGTTGAAACTCTAATCCCTCAATTTGATAGTATTTGGAGACAGGACCTTTGGGAGGTAATTTGGTTTAGCTGAGGTCAAGAGGCCCTCTCCCTTTATAAAAACAAACACCAGAGAGCTTAGGTGCCTCCTCCTTCCCCTGGGCCCTTGTGAGAACAGTGAGAAGGTGGCATCTGTAAGCCAGGAAGACAGTACTCATTGGGAAACAAATCTGCTGGTATGCTTATCTCATACTTCCAGCCTCCAAAACTGTGAGAAAACAAATTTCTGTAGTCTAAACTACTAAATCTGTGGTATTCTGTTATGGCAGCCTGAGTTGACTAACACACTATTGTATCTTGTTTTAGAATAGGATAGGAGATGAGGTTTTAAACTGTCTTTCCCACCCCCAAGGAGATATCTAACCATTTCAGAATCACTAATTTGTAATGTTTCTTTTATTTTGTATAATGTTTTGAAAAAGAATGCTTCTGGGCTCTTGTAACAGAAGCACAATATTTTATTAATTATAACTAAATATTTGCATCTGGTAGAGCCGATCCTATATTTATCACTTCTCTTTTAGTATATCTATTTATTCTTCTACATGAAATAGAAACAAAAATCATGTTGGGATTTTACAATTACATATTCACTTGGAAAAAACCACCATCCTTTTTTATTCTTATTTTTCATATGGGAACATGGCATGTCTTCTCTCTTCAATTTTTCTATGTATCTCAGTTTTGAGATTTTTCTTCACATAGGTCCCCCTTACTTCTTTTTAAGGTATGTCAGTTGATCGATCAGCCAACTGACCTATCCACCTACCTACCTAATTTCGTTGCAGTGGTTATTATAATGAAGAAAATCTCCTTTCCCCCAGATGTACATGTGGCAGAAAGCAAAATTACCAGAGTAAAGTTAGTTATATACACACACATATGGATACCATGCTGTATTCTTAGTTCCCAACTGATTCTTTTATTTTTCTAAGACTACAAAAGAAACAATGAGTCTGTCTCTTCTTTTTCATTGTTATACCTCTGATTCCTACTGCAAGTCTTCCTTAAGTGATTGAACATTCTAGACCAATTTTTAAAAATAGTGGTGGCAGCAGGTTGCTTGTTTTGGTCCTGATTTTTTAATAAGAATGTTTCAAGTATTTTGTGTTTAAGAATGACTACTAACTTAAAACAGACAAAGCTGTTAGCATGTTAAGGAAATAACCTTCCAGTACTACTTTACTAAGAGTTTATATAATGAATTTTAAGTTTTACACATGTCCTCCTAACATGATCTTAAATCATCTTGTTTTAGTTTTTCTTACTCAGCTTACTAATTTACTATATTATTATATTAAAATATTTTTAACACTATCCTTACATTCTGGTGGTGGCGGAAGATATATAAATGGTTGATTAGTTTGTTAGTATTTATTTAAAGTTTTTGTGCATAAATTAAAAATTAACTGTTGCTACTCAAAAGTGGGACCGTAAAAAAATTATTAAAACTAAATTTTAAAAATGTCACTTCTAATTTTAAATACAATTCTTTTTGATGTCCAAAGATCTAAAAAGGTGGTTAAATGCCTTTATGCTTTAGAAAAGGTTGATGATAAAAAGAAAACCCACTGTCTACTTTCTTGAGATTATTATAAAATAATCTCGTTTCCTAAAATATCACAATCTCATTTCTTTGACATTTTGCACTGCACTGCTTTAAGAACAGAGAAAGTACAAAATCAAGGTTGGGGCAGGAAATACGTTATTGATAAAGCTAAATATTTAAATGTATGTGAGGAATAATGCCTTTGCTGTGAAATTTCAATATGAAGATGGGAGAAAGCAAATAAGATGGCATTCTTTCACTCTAATCAATTGATCTTTAAATTGAACTTGTGTCTCATAAAACTCATCTCTTTGAGGATATTTCAGTCGAAATTAGTTATTAATAAGGTTCTCCTAGCATCTCTTAAAAATGGCTCTAATGTTACACACTATCCATGCCACAAGAGATAGCAAAAGGCCTCATTACAATGATACAAATAAATCTTAAGAGCTCAGAAATTCAAAACTGTTCAGTGAAAAACAGAGCAGACCTCTCTTTGCCCCAAAACACAGAAGCAAATGTGGAATTTCTAGGATATCAAGATATGAAGAATTAAGAAAAACCATGTTTGCCAACTTTAGAGAGAATGAGGACAGCATGTGAGTTTGGGTGTGGTAAAACATGGGTGTGGTGTTTGTGGCCTGGTTGACTTTTCCAACAAATGAAAGAAATCAAGAGCTTTCCACTTCTGACATGTTCATGCATGTGGCGACCAACTCTCATGAATGATAATAATGGAATTTCTGCACTAAAAGTGAGAACTAGGACTAGAAGACATAAGTACCTTTTCCGATTCAAGGATTCTCTTCTGTAAATTCAGATAACAAGATTCCATTCAGGCTAAGTGAACAATTTTTAATTTTGCTTTGGTGAAATTTTTAAACAGTCAATAAACATCAGAATTTACACTGTACACAGTATAAAAATTTAGTAAGAATTTTAGAATAATTTTTTTCTAAGTGGGAAGAGAAAGAATCTGGCAAAATAAATTACTGGAGAAACCTGAAAATAATCAAAGTTTCTTGAATGTATAATGTTAGGCTAGTGGAAGACAAGAAAAGAGACAATACTATTTCAGAGAAGCAAAAGTAATTACTTTATTGATAACTTCCTACCTCTATTAACCAAGTAGATTCAAACATTTTTACTTTTATTATTATGGTAACCATTAATCAAAAGCATTACTAATTATTAACAGCAATAAACTAGCAGCAAAAATTCATTTGAACTAAGTTACTTATTCTGATAAACCTTACCAGATAAATATCCACAGTTTACAGATAAGAAAACGGATTCAGAAACCCTAATTAGTTATTTAGGAAATGGCTAGAAGTTGATATGGAAAATCAAAATGAGTCCAATATTAAGTATATGGAGTTGTGTTAAAATGCATAACTGTTTTTTGTAGAACAAACCTTTACCAAAATTGTCTTCAAATGATATTTACAAAGTGTGCCTATTACACAAGTTATCATTTCTTTAACATTTAAAAACTAAATAAGAACTTTATGAAAACTACAGAATTTTCTACCTTACTAAAAGCTTATTTAGCAAAAGGCTCCACAAATCAACTAAATGGAGAAGCCTTTAAGGACCCTCATTCCATTCCCCTCTCTAAAGCTAAGTCTAAGCACAATAATGTTGAAAAAACAAACATGCAGACAGGAAAAAGCAAAAACAAGCAGTTCTCAGTATAGAATTGGCATGTTTGATTCCAAAAACCTACAGAAATAAGATTTCTTATCACAATGACAAGAAGCACAGAGATTCCATATACTTAAATTACACAGAAAATAATTACAATCTCAAATTTGGGATTAAAACCACTAAAATAAAATCAAATGTCAAATTTAATAGCAATGTTAACGGTTTCAGTTTAAAAATTACTATTTACACAGTAAAATTACTATTAATAGTACTATAAAATCAATGCAAATATCTCACCCTTACAAGATCAGAGTCGTCTCTCTTGTCACTTTTTTTCCCCGGCAAAGGTGAAGACATTGTGTAATCTTCATTTTCACTGTGATCCATTTCAGAACTATCAAGCCTTTTAATACAGACATTTACATTACAATCAAATAACTTTAAAAGCTTTTTCTATTCCTTAGTGTAGCTTTATACAGAAAAGTTCCATTTGTTTTCAAAAAATGAATCAATTTAATCTTACATTTTGTACTAAATCAATAAGCAAGAAGTTCATTTAATCTAATACAGTAGGAATTTTTTAAAATCACAGATTAGTTTTTTCCTAAATCTTTTTAAAAGCTAAATTCTATTTTGTGGTGGGACATACAGCAAATTTAAACTTTCTGGTAAGTTAGACTTAGACTGGTTTTACACTACAACCTGCCTTGTTCATTTTTTTCCTCTCTGTAGCATTTTATACCTTCTAACACACCATGATTATTATACTTAGTATTTGCTGCCTACCTTCCCCTACTAATTAGTATGTAAGCATGACTTTCCTGTCGATTTTGCTTATCAATGTATGCTAAACACTTGAATCAGTGCCAGCACAGAGTAGGTTCTCAACAACTGTGTTGAATGAATTAATAGCATATGCCCTCATACATCAGTATAAAGGTCCAGGCGTCCATCCTGGGTGATCTCATCTTTATCTGGTTTTTAAAACCATTTTTATATTGTTAAACCCTAAATCTCAATCTCTGGTCAGCTACCCTGAATTCTAAACTCACATATCCAATTGTCTACTCATTACTTCACTTAAAATTCTAATAGGCAACTGAACAGCTAAAACAGTTATTTGGACACTCCTCTTTTCCCACCTCCCCAAAACACACATATGTAAACACAGAGTCTATTCCTCCTCAAGGCTTCTACATCTCAGTGAATGGCACCACCATCTCTCCAATTATTCAGATAAAAAACCCAGGATACATTCTTAAATACTCCCTTTTTCTAGCTGTTTACATCTAATCCACCAAGACTATATGGATCTAACATCAAAATAAATCTGAAATTTGACTATTTTTATTAATACCATCTTCCTTCTTTATCCCTTCTCTAGATTACTATTAGCTGTCTCCTAACTGGTTTTTCTACTTCAAATCTAGCTCCTCTATAGTATATTCTGCACAAATTATCAGGGTAACACTTGTAAAGCACAAATTAAATTGCTACATTCCCTGACAATATCTTTCAGTTACACTTAAAAATCAAATCCAGATTCCTTACCATGGTTCACAAAGTTCAAACATAAGCTGGCTACCTCTCAACTTTCTCTTATCATTTTTCCCTCATTCCTACTCTCCAACCAAATGGGTCTCTCAAACACACCCTTGGAAAGAGTCCTACTGAATATGGAGGAAAAAACATAACAAAATAGATTGGTCAAAAGTTGAAAGAAAAATTTAGAGTGACATATATTTAAAAAGTACAGTAAGAAAATTAAGACACATTTGTGTTAACTAACAATGAGATATAAGCAAACAAGGGGAGTCGATTAAGATTTCTGGGCAATGAAATAACATGATAACAGAAGCATTTTTAAAAAAGATTATCAATAGTCATACTACATATGTAGTTGACAGGAATAAGGAGGGGAAATAGAGCAATAATAAAAGGAAATGAACTAGGTGATGACAATAAAAGAAGTACAAAATACCATATAGAAAAAAATCAGCAAAACTTAGCAAAGTGAACAAAAATAGATAGGGAAAAGGGTCATAGACAGTTTTGAGGCTCTTAGCCCAGATGACTGGGTGAACTAGGTCATCTTTGATTATAATCAGAAATTCAAGGGAAAAAAAGCAATTTAGAAAATGAGTTGGCGAAAATGTTTTCAATCGTGTTACAACATATAAGGTCATTTTCTAGAAATGTCCAACTGATATAGCTCGAGTCACTTAGGTATCAGCCACTAATACACATTAATACAGGAACCAAGAACAAACAAAAGGACAGATGCAATTTCTTCTTCTAGTCCTGCCATACTATGTGCATTCAATAATTTATTCATTATAAGAAAACTGGTAAGCTATTTTAAAATGACTCTTTCCTTCTTTACTGATTGGTTATAAACAATGCAAAAGACAGGACAATGTCTCATAATAATTTGGTAAAATCAATAAACAGTGGCTGCTTAGCCCTGTACAATACTTTGCTGGTAACAAAGAAGTCCTAACACTTATGCTAAAACCAGCGAACGGGTGAATTTTTTTTTATTCTTTCTTGGAAAGGAAAAAAAAAAAATTTTTTTTAAACAAAAAAGTTTATACATGTACATGGCAAAAATAAATTCAAATTATACCAAAAAGTATAAAATACTCTCCTATACTAGGTTATCATAAAAGATTCTGTGCAGTCATCTGAAAACTTGTCTGCTTATAAAAACAAATGTGAATATAAATCCTTTTTCAAAACTTACACATATCCTAATATTGTTCCATACACTTTGCCTTTTTCACTGAGTAACATGTTGTGGAAACTCTTCCACACTAGCTCTGAACTCATCATTTCTAGTGACTATGTAGAAATCATTATATACAATGCCAGTTTTCCAATTGCTGGACACCCAGGTCAGAAACTAGTTTATGTGTTCTAGCACAGATTACCCCAACAAGCTAAAGAATGAAAGGCTAAGATAGAGAACCTGTCCAAAATGAGCAAGCAAATATATGAACTGGTGACTGACAATGTTGGGGAAAGTTAAGTACTACATGAAATTGCACTCACTGACATGGAAGGTGTTACATATTATTTTAGATCCCATAGCCTTGCTGGAATCCTTACATGTAAACTGTGATAGTTCTTCTATACTGACCTCCCCTTTATTCTTCCAGGAGAGCTTGGGTTTGAGCTGCTGCTTGCATTGCTTACAGTTTCCATTCGTGATGATTTGGTCTGAGACTGTTTGCCTGCTGATGACAGCGGCTTATTAACAGCTCCTAGAACATTGGTTGTTTTAGGCTGAAATGAGAAATATGTCTTTTTCTATTTGGTTAAAGCCAAAAGAAACTTACATGTAGTAACCATAAACAACACCTCTATCAACGTATTGACAAACAAATAATTAAAAATGGTACCCATCCCTAAGCAAGATAAGAATCATAAACTGAAAATCACTTGAACAAATTAAAAACTATATAGACAGCATAGCAGTCAAGTCTTAGTTATCTGAAGAAAATGGTTTACATAGAAAGGGAGAACAAATGAAATGCATAAACAATGAAAACAGATAATTAGACTTTCGCTAAGGAAGAGCATAAGAAGATGCTTTTTAAAGATGTTTATTCTGATATTAGGATAAGATGTCTAAGGATTAAGGTCTCCTGTGCTTTATTACAAGATAAAAAGTAAGTGCATGTATCTCAGAGAGGTATCTCAGAGAGGTATACTCTCTGATAAATATAATTATTTCTCACTAGTAAGTGGAAGATAGCTAAAATTTTATTTTCTACCTTGAACATACATATTTTTGAAGGAGTACAAAAACACAATTAGCCAATAATCACACTAAAATAATCTACCACATAAAAATTAAAATGATTCTCAAAACCTACTTTGCCAGGAGTAAAAAATGATTTCATTTCTGGAGGCAGATAATTTTTGGTGTTACTGAAATTCTACAAGCAAGGGAAAAAGAAGTCGTCAGTGAATTTTAAAACACTGTATCTATGAAGTGGTTTAAAAGCCAACAAAGCATACAGCAGTTTTTTGTTTTAAAGTACATACTTATTTAAACTAAATAATCAGTTGAAACACAAAATTTGAGTCACAGACTTTACTGTAGTAAGCTTAAACTAACATCATACCAACTCCAATATTAACAAATCATATTTGAGCTCTAATTCGCATACAGTTTCTGTTATCTCAAGAAAATACATACTTCTGTAATAACACCCTTCAGAGAAAAGACCACATATACTGTTACCTTGCTCACACCAAGGTGAATGCTTAAAAGGAGACAGCCCATTTAGCTAATGAGTAAACCTTCAAGTCTGCTCCAAATTTCTACACACTGGTAAGACTTTAGATGACATTTTGCTTTAACAAAAAAAGAGGATAGTAGTCATTTCCAGAATTTGTTACTCAATGTGCTTAGATAAATTATGAGGTTTTAAATAAATTATGAGGGATTGTGGAAAACACCTTTTATAATTCATACAGCAGCTGGGATTTTTGGAGAGTGGTTTGGGAATATGCTTGTGCTCCCAGGGTCTTGGGCTTGTTCTAGTGTCTGTTCTCTGTTTTCTCATACCAGTTAAGAATCCCAATGAAGTCTTTACTTCAGACAGTATCTCTATCAGCATTCTCCTTCCCATTTTGAACAATGGCCATTAATTCACAAATCCACATGCTTTGATCATATTTTTGTCTGTGCCTTTAGACCGGCTTAAAACTAAACACAAATACTAGGTCCCATTCTAACTAGTCTTTGAACCATATTTGTGTCCTCCAGTTTGGCCCATACTCTGGCCTTAAGCCACATTCTTAAAACTCATGGCACTCTTTCCTCGCCATTAACAGTAGGCCAGCTCTTGATACTGATCCTTCCTGGTCATCCCACAACCTATTGCTCAGAAGATGTTTTAATTCAACTTACACAAATTCTAAAGTAACTACCTTGTCAGGTTGAGTGAAAAAACGAGCTGGTAATACTGGGTCTTTAGGAGATTCCAAACTATATGTAGTACTCTTTGACATGATGATATTCATGGCAACATCACACACGGTGTATAGTTTCTGCAATGGTATTAAAAAAAAAAAAATGAGTCAAGTTGGCATCCTACACTCTGTAAATAACGAGTAATTCTGGAACATGAATCCAGTCTAAATAGTAAATTAATGAAAGCAGCAGCAAGTATAAGCATTTTAGCCACACTACTGCTCTGATTAATTAGTAAGATTACTACTAATTCTATATTAGTAATTCTAATTATTACTAATAGAAATACTACCAATAGAACAATTATTTGATGCTGTCTATAAATATTACAGAAGTTTCATACCCTACATCCAAATGTTTAAATCAACATGAACCCATAATTATTTACAAAGAATTACATACTTCATTCATTTTTGCATCATCTGGTCCTTGGGCATCTTTTGTTTGTTTAATATTTTCTACCATCTTTCTGATAAATGCATGACTGTTATTTTCATTTTTAGCCATTAATATTTCCAGAACAAACCAAAGACATCTAAAAAAAAAAAAAAAGAAGAAGAAACAAAATCCTTTGTAAAATACAGATACAATGATTTTAAATATAAATACTATGAACCCAGATTAACTCCAGGAGGGGAAAAAATTTCAAAAAGAAACAGCTACAGTCAGCAAGGGAAAAAGACATGTCACACATACATATAATAGTCAGCAATGCCAACATGAACTTATAAGGCCCTTTCTGAAAGTCTCCCATTTTCAAGGAGGAAACACAAATGGTGGGGAAAAAGAAACATAAACAGTGGAAAGAATCAAGTCATTTTAACTCCCAGGAAGTAAAGACTGCCTAAAGGAATAAGTAGTTGGATTATGGATCAAATGAGGGCTTAAGACGCAAGACTGACTGTAGAGCTGATGGGAAGTCTTTAAGAGAATTTAACTACCTTATTAAATAGTTAAGAATCTTCATCAATAGAGGTGAAAAGTCATACTGACAACGACACAAACTGTCTTTGCTTAATGAAGGAAAAATAAAGTTTCAGTAGACCAGTTTTACAGTTAATTGCACACAATTCTATTCAACAAAAAATGGAAAGTGCTTTGTCTATGTATTATATGGACTGAAAGGGGCAGAGTTATAGTTGATGCCCAGAAGAGAAAAGTAATAGGAGAAGGAAGAGAGGGAAATGTGAAGCAAGGTATTATTCTACAACAGAAAAAATAACCTTTAGATCTTAGGTACGGGATAAGTCCTGGAGTGCCTCTCTGATAGAATGGAGATTACTCATAGTTATACAGGGACAATTGAGAAATACAGCCAAGAATGTCTAGTAAATTCCAAATGACAGGTATCTATTTTAAAAACCAATGTTCTCTGGTAGTGAGAGGTGGCTAGAAGTTTTTATAAGTTATAAACACTCTAACACAAAACTCATTTTGGGAGAACTAATCATTTATTTTTTAAAATGAAACTGGCAAAAAAAAAAGGGGGGGGAATGGCTGCTTTTTCCCTTGTCATGAGAGGTTAGCATTAATTTGTTTTTATTCTCCTGAGGTATATTTCTATGTATTAAGAAACTAAGAATTAATTTCCTTAAAAGGAAACTAAAGGCATAATAAATTAATTGATTCAAAACCACAAAGGTCATATTTTATTATAACAGAAAGAGGACCAAGTCTCAAGCATATATAAAGGTCTATACTGGTCTTAAAAAGACTTGTCTAAATATCACTATATTCCCCTACTGTACACATGTACAGTGTTTTCAGTCTCTCAACAATAATCTTTGAAAGAATAATGAAAACTATAATCTCTAACTAGATAAAGATATCAATGAAATCTTAAGCAAGAGTAGTCGATTATAAACTTGGCTCATTATTAAATCAGGCCATTTTCTCTTCCTGGAGGAAGATAGTTACTGCAAAGAAAAATGTGATTACTACATGAGTAAAGGAGATTATAATTTCACCTCACATGAAAACCTACACACTTTCAGAAGAAAGTAAAAAAAGACAAATGGAATGAAAACTTTTAATGAATTACTTCAATAGAAAAGAAATGTCAGACTAGTAGAGAAATAGAATTACAGTATAGTAATTATGCTTAAGTTTTGGGAAATTACATTAAAAACTGTAATATAAAACGATGGTATGAAAAAAGACATGACAGCTAATAGAGGAAAGAAACTTAAAACGCCTAAGAAATGAATACATCAATACACTAATTATAATTCAGACCTCATTATCAACATTCAGGGGAAAGGACACCTTGCAGAAAATATGGAAATGGGAGGGAACAAATCTTACTCTTTAACATCCTTAAGTTGTTCGATATCCTGTACTTTGACATAATCTGGATCATGTGCCAAAAGGTGAATTGTATATGGAACAACATACTCTGGTAGAAGAGACAACAGCTTTTCTAAAACAGAAAAGAAGAAAAAGAAAAAACAAACAAAAACATACAGGTTAGAAAACCAAATCTTATACACTCTTTCACACTGTATTTCCTGCATCCCAACAGTTTACCTCAATATAGCTAGAAGAAAAACATATCCTGCACTGAGGTACATGATGAATTAAACAGTTTATTCATCCATCCACCATGTCTAATGTGGAAATACACCATGAGCTGAGGCTACAAAAACACATATTTCAGTTTTAAAATGCATATAGGAAAAACGACTCAAACAGACTATATTCAAGACTGAGAAACGTAAGATCTACTTTTACTGTTATGAGCCACCCTATGTTTACTACTCTTTTGTAAGTGGCTGAGCAAAATGAAAAACAGCTAGTAATCTTTCAGAGTCAACAAAACACAAGATAGGAGGTAATGGTTGATTCTATTTGTAACAGAAGAACAGATATAAAAGAACCAAGTTAAGAGTTTCTAGGGCATTTTAAATAGCAAAGAAACACCATTCTTGTTTAAATTCAAATACTTTTATATGTTGACTGAGATTAGCATATGATGTCAGAGAGGTCAACATGGGAATATGAAGTTTAACAAAGGGTATGCAAAAAGATTCACATTCATATTCTAGACAATTTCAATTTATATTAATTTAATCAAAATAAAAATTTTAATCAAATGTTTAACTTGATATATAATATCATGTATGTCAATTAAGTACCAAATTTTCTTTATTTCTGTTGCTGAACTTGCAGAGAATAGTTTGCATATAATACCATTCACTTCAAGGCAGGCACAGAAGGAAAAAAAGTAACAAGGTTGAAAATTTAGTAAAATAAAAATGAAATTCTATCAAATATTTATTGAATGTTTACCACATTCCAGGCCTATATTAGAATTTTGAAATATAAAGATGAGTAAGACTAGGTAAAGAGCTCACAATGCAACATAAACAGAGGCAGAAGCTATTCGTCAAAGTGAAAGATGCCTCGAAATAAGAATAGCTAACACATAGTGAGTACCTCCTTTGTGCCAGTGAGAGAGACAGACACAGAGAGAGGAAGAGAGGAAGAGAGGGAAGGGGGGATGGGGAGAGGG